GCATGCCAATGTGGGTGGCTGACGTGAAACTGCAAAAATATATATATTAATAGGGAAAGCTTGTACAAGCTTTAAAGCAAAAAGCGGGTCGCTAAAAAAAAATATAAGGGAAAGAATAAAAGAAAGAACAGGCGGGATTTTAAAAGCCAGAACACACGAACAGGCTGAATTTTTAAAGTAAAAAAGCTAGAGGGCAGAAATAGCTCATTTATTCCCTCACTTTCAGGCATTATTCACATGAGAACAAAAAAAACATTTTTTGCCGTAGACCAAAGAAAGGAAAAATTCATTTTAAAATTTTTTAATTTAATTTAATTTAATTGTATTGTTTTTTTTATTTTTTAGGGAAAAAATTAGGATTACAAACTTGACGGTTGTAATCTTAAGTATTTAAACGTTCCGGAAAACTTTAAAAAAATATTAATACTTATTACAAACCTTCCGGAAGACTAATAAAAACATTGTCTAATGTTTATCTAATTGTTCCGGAAAAAACACAAATTCTAATAATATGTTTCAAGAAAAGTTTTCCGAAAAACTTTCCAACTTTACGGAACATTAGAGATCGGATCAAACAAATATTTGGTCAAATAAAATCAAATATTTGACCAAATTTTATTTGATTTTATTTGATCAAATATTTGTTTGATGAGTTTTTGAAGAAATTTGATTTTTTCAAATATCAAATAAATATCAAATAATTTGATCAAATATTTGTTTGATGAAGGTTTGAAAAATCAAATATTTGATCAAATATCAAATAATTTGAAAATTTATTTGATTTTCGTTTTTAGCATGTAAAGATGGCATATTTCCTTATAAAATCGATATGATAACCGAGATTTTTGCTCCAGGACAAATTATTTATCGTATCAGAACATATTCCGATGCACATGATATCCCTATATTACTTCATAGTTGAGTACACACGATTGAGTCCCCCTTGTATAGTAATTTAGAAGGGATTTTGGAAATTAACAGTGATATTGCGGGATTAGAGGTAGATTGTTTTAGATGATTTGGGAGGATTAAGAGGAATTTAGGTGGATTAAGAGGAATATAGATGGATTTGGCGATCAAAATATATGTCAGGGGATTGGGAAGATTAGGAGGATATTAGAGCATTTGAATAATTTCTAGGGATTAACATTGGATGGATATTGACAAATTTGGAGGGATTTTGGGATTAAGGGGATATAGTGGATGTAGTGTGATTTGGGATGGAAATCGACGGATTTGGTGGATATAGTTGGATTGAGTCTGTTATCCCGGCGCACGTTATATCCCTTTATATATCACCCTTAATCCCTCATATCACCCTTAATCCCTCTCATATTACCCTTAATCCCCTCATATTACCCTTAATCCCCTCATATTACCCTTAATCCCCTCATATTACCCTTAATCCCCTCATATTACCCTTAATCCCCTCATACATATCACCCTTAATCCCTCCACAACCATCTTAATCCTCCGATGTCATCTTCATATCCTAATATCCCGATTATACAATCAAATACACAGATTTATATGGTATTCCGAAATTTTTTAAAAAATTTGATATTTGATCAAATATTTGATTTTGCAAATCAAATTTTTTCAAATATCAAATAATTCTCAAATTATTTGATCAAATATTTGTTTGATGACTTTTGGGGGAAATCAAATTTTTTCAAATATCAAATAATTCTCAAATTATTTGATCAAATATTTGTTTGATGACTTTTGGGGGAAATCAAATTTTTTCAAATATCAAATAATTTTCAAATTATTTGATCAAATATTTGATTTTGTCGTTTGTCCGATCTCTACGGAACATTAATAGAAACGGTCTAGCGATTATTTAAATGTTTCAGTAAAAGTTTTCCGGAAAAAATACAAACCTTAAAAATATTAATATTCATTACAAATCTACCGGAAAACTAGCAAACATGCTTAAACTTTCCGGAAAACTAGTAAAATATTATTAAGTCATCTAAACTTATTTTTCCCTGTATTTAAACTACCTATCTAATTAAAGTTAACTTTAAAAATTATTTTTAATCCCTATCCTAATAATTTCTACTATTTTTTTATTTATTTAAATAGTAATTTTCAAAAATAATTTTCAAAAATAATAACTATTATTTTTTCTAATTTTAATTAATACTTTATAAAATCAAAAACCAATCTTATGAACATTTTCGTCATTTTGCTTATTGTTAAAACACAAAACACTCTTAAAAATACAAAAAAATTTTTTTGATGAAAACAACTATTTTTATATAAATTTAAATTTATTTGCGTGTTTATCTTTTGTTTTTAATAATTTTATAGCAAAACAAAATTATTTTTTATATTTTTTCAAATTTATTTTTAATTTACTTTTGTTTTCAAAAATATATATTGTGTTTTAAACATAAATTAAAAAATTAAATATTTGCAAAATTAAGTAAAAACTATTTAGAATATTTCGAGATAAAATTAAAGATTATAAAATTTGTAATTATTTATTTATTTTTAAAGATAGTAATTAATTCTTGAGGGTTATTTGTTGCTTTTATGTTGGGGTTAAAGCATATATTTAGTTTGTAATTTTAATTGTCTCTTTTAAGTTTGTATTTTGCTTTCCGGAATGTTTATTGAACTCTTGTATTTTTCCAGAAAGTTTGTAAACTTATTATTCTCAGTTAAGTTTGTATTTTCTTTCAGGAAACTCCGGAATATTCTATATACTTTCCGGAAACTTATCCGGAATTTTTATATACTTAAGTTTCCGGAAAGGTTGTAATTATTTTATTATTGTCTGTTAAGTTTGTATTTTATTTCCGGAAACTATACGAAATATTCTATACACTTTTCCGGAAAGTTTGTAATCTTATTTATTTTTCTTTCAGGAAACTTATCCGGAATATTTATATTCTCAAGTTTCCGGAAAGGTTGTAATCTGTTAAGTTTGTATTTTCTTTCCGGAAACTATCAAGATATTCTATATACTTTTCCGGAAAGTTTGCAATTTTATTATTTTTAAACTAAGTTGATATCTTTTCCCGGAAACTTTATCCGGAATTTTTATTCCCTTCTATTTAAGTTTGTAATCTTAATTCTTTGTAAACTTGCATTATTTATATAATTTGCCTGCAATATTTTATTAGTTATTCTTGCGCAACTTTGTGCTTCTATGTAAATGAATTCTTTCCCATCATACAAAAAAGTCTAGACTTTCTATTTAAGGAACTAAAAAATTTTACTAATCGTATTAAAAGACTTTTTAAATCTTAATAAATTTTAAATATTTTAAAATAAATTTTAATGCTAAATAATTTTGTGGACTTTTTAAAAGTTGTTTAATTTTAAGTGGGAGGCTTTTAATTGAAAGAAATCTTTTCTATCGATAAATTAGAATATTAAAAATTAGTTTAAATTATTTTAAGAAATTTTAAAAAATCATCCATTTAAAGACATCTTCTTCTTGTAGATTTATTTTTTTTTGTTCCCCTTCCGGAATTTTTAAAAGAACCATTTTATAGACCATTTTTTAAATTTTAACGTTATCTCCTAGAACTTGTATTTCTTCGGGAATATTTATGTACCTTTCCGGAAGGTTGTAATTTTATTATTTATTGTAAAGTTTGTATTTTTAGACCTATCCTTCCCTTGCAGATTTATATTTTTCTGTTCCCCTTATAATTTTTAAAGAAACCAAAAAATTAAAAAAAATTTTTTTAATTAATTAAAGGTCTAAAATATCAAAAAATAATTTATTTAAATAGTTCAAAGACCTATTTTCCCCTTTTTCATTTTTTTAAAATTTTTCAGCTGTTAAATAATACGTCAGAAAGCATGTATTTATTTATATAAATTTATTTTTATAAATTTTTATTTTATTTTTATATTGTTCTTATATTTTTTCTCTCCCATTTTTAAGCATTTTTACTCATTTATTTCCATTATATAATAGGTCCACTCATTACGTGGGCAAAAAATATATTTATGTAAAACGTTCGTTTCTGCCACCTCATTTTAAATAGAATTTTTGTGTACTTAACCAAATCATACATTTTTTTTATTTTTTTATAATTACTTTAGAAGCTTGGAATAAGTTGGGGAAATATTTAAAATTTAACTTTTTTTTAAATATTTTTAGAAATTTAATTTTTAATTAACTAGGTCTAAGCCAAAATTGAGCCTAAAATACGGCCGCGCCCTTATGGACCGCGCCAAAAATTCAAAAATCCCTTTTTCCCTTACACGCCGCGCCCTTATTGCCCGCGCCGAAAAAACCTAGCCCTACAAGATACGAGTAATTGTCTAGGAATTTTTTTTTTAATTTAATTTTAGACGTGGACCTATATAATTTTGCATAGATATTCGACATAGTGTTGACTTTATTTCCTAAAAATTTTAGAATTTTTGGACAATTTTTAAAAAAGTTGTGGTCAATAGGATTAAAAATACTTCTATTTTAGCGAAAACTGGACCAAATTTGACCCAATTTTTGACCATAACTTGTAAAATATTTGACTAAAAATTTTAAAATTTTGAGAATTATTAGAGTAGAATGTTAACTATATTTATGCAAAATTTTACATTTTAGGTTTATATTGGCCTATTTTACCAGCCTTTTTCCAAATTTACTTTGGTGACAGCTGCCTTTTCTACCCAAAATTTTCTTCTATCTTTCCTCGATCACCCAATCCCCTTTCCTCTCTAATTTATTTTTTTCATCATTTCCCAAAAACTTTCGCCCAATTACCTTCCAGCTTAAAATTATTACTGTACTAACTTATTAGGGGAATTTAATATTTCGGCGCGGGGCCATTTTGGCGCAGGCTCCAAACTAACTTTTTAGTTATTTCTTTTTTTCTCTAATTTTCAGGCAATCACTCGCCCAAAAAAATATTATTTTTTTATTTTAATTTTATTTTTTCGTCATCTTAAAACAACACACTTTCTTCTCATTTTAAATTTTTTGTCATCACTTGAAACACAAAAAAAAATTTTTTTTGTGATATTTATTGATGCTTATTGGAGAATTTACTAATATTATTACTCAACAAGAAAATCAACAAAAAATTTCCCCAGTTGTCGTAACTAGTCTAAAACCTTTTATTTTTTCAATTAAGCCTCAAAAAATTGCAAAATTGTCAGGGACACCGGTAAATTTTATTTTTTTAATTTAATTAAATTCCCTCTTATTTCCCCTATAGCCATCACCGCTTTCCCCCTTAACACCTCCCCAACCTCCTTCTGACCAAATTAACCTCCTCCCGTCTTCTCAGTTTGTTTCGAACTTTCAAACATTCCATAGACGACGTTCTTCTGTTTATTCTGTTTCAGAAGGACAAACAACAACTTCCAGAGATTCTTCCTCTACAGAACAAACTTCAACTGTAGCAACGGCGTCTATTTCTAGAGTGGGTTTTTAGAAAATAAATTGTAAAAACATAATTGTAAAATTTAATTAAACAAAAATAGTTTGTATTTTACAGGCTTAAAAATAATTAGAACAATAATTTCTTAAAAACAACCTAAAAATATTTCCGTTAAGTTTGTAGTCTCATTTCGGGAATAGAATAATTTTTTAGTATCATCCGGAAAGTTCGTTATATAGTTCCGTTAAGTTTGTAATATTACATCCGGAAGGTTTTAAAAAATTTCCGGAAAGGTTGGTTAGATTAACGTTTCCGTTAAGTTTGTAAACTTATTTCCGGAAAACTTGAAATAATAATTGTTTCCGGAAAGTTATAATTTTATATTTTCCGGAAAGTTTGTAATCTTATAATATTTTCTTCTAGTTTGTAATATTAGTAAAACATGTTTGTAAAATTATTAAGGGTTAATTTGCAAACATAAAAGACTTGAAAATATTATAATTCAAAAACAAAAACATAAAGAAACATTATTTTAAAAAATGTTGCAATCTTTAAACTAGAGTTGTACCCCGACCCCGTACCCCGAACCCCGACCCCGTTCCCGAACGATTTTTTCACGATTCTCCCCGACCCGAACCCCGCCCCGAAAAAAAGTGAAAACCCCGTTCCCCGGCCCAAAAAGTTTCGGGGTTACGGGGTTTTATACCCCTAAAAAATGTCATTTTTTGGAGAAATTAATGAAGAAAATTTGAAAAATTTCCACACATTTTACTTTGCTTTTATTATTTTTGAAAGAAAAATGAATGAAATATCATAATTTTCTTTCCTTCTTTATTAAGAGACTTGTGGTTGAGTGGCTTAGTCGTTGGTTTTAGCCGATATTTCATTAATATAGGATTGGGTTCGGATCCATATAAGGATAACTCTGTTGTTTTTATATTTTTTCACAAAAACAAATTATTAACGAGTTAAATTTTAATTTGAAAATATTAATTTTATTTTTAACTGATATCCCTTGAACCACCCTTAATCCTTCAAACCCTCTGTATCACCAGTTCTCAACCATAACAGTTGGTAAACTATCGAGGTCATGTTAACGGGAATCAGAGATATAAAGGGATTTGTAGGATATCGAAGAATTAAGGAGTTTTAAAGGGATATAAGGTGGGAGATTTAAGGAATAATCGAAGATATCTCCTGATATCCGTCCAAATACCCTTATCCGCAATACATCAATATTCTTATAAATCACTAATATCCCTTGAACCAACAAAAATCACTCCAGATCACCTTGTATCCCAAGATATACCATTTAATCCTAAAAATCCCACTTAATCCCTCCAGATCCACTTATATCCCAAGTTATACGCTTTAATCCCTTCAAATCCCCTCTAATTTCTTCAAAACCTACTTAATTTTTGAATAAATCAACGAAAATATATCGATTTCTAAATATTTTTGAGCATTTTTTCTCTAAAAATTTTTCCACTAAACCCCCGTACCCCGACCCGAACCCCGGCCATATTTTGCTCCCCCGACCCGAACCCCGCCCCGAAACAATTGGAAAACCCCGTACCCCGACATACCCGCCCCCGAACGTTCGGGGTACAACCCTACTTTAAACCCTTAAAGTATCACATAAAAACACCAAAACATCAAAAACAACTAAAAAAGGTTCCAAAAAAGTCAAAAGATAGTAAACCACCCTTCATACAATACAAATCTCTAAAAATCTTATTTTTGCCTAAACGTCATTTTCGTTGGTCTATTGTCGTTTTTTAATGTTTTTGTGGTATTTTATTTTTTTGCAAGAGAAGGCGTGAACAAAAACTTTTATAAAAAGAAAATTTTTTAGTAATTATATAATAATAATTGTTTTTTAATAATTTTTGCAGAACCCGCCGCTTGGCCATTTTGAACAACAATTATCTCGTTCACTCGAAAGTCTTTCAATGGACGAATTGTTTGGGGCTGGGCAGTCTCCAGAACAGGATAAACAACAACAAACATTAAATACTGTAGAACAACAAGAGGATTCTATGGCTGATGATCAATTACTTAGACAAATTATTGATACTTTAATTGATGAGGATGTGAGTTTAATTTTCTATATTTTAATAGTTTCCGGAAAGCTAAAAAAATTATTATAATATTTTTCCGGAGAGGTTTTAATATATTTAAGTTTGTAAACTTAAATATTCGTATTTGTTTTCGGAAGGGTTGAAATAATTTTTTCCGGAAAGTTTGTAATTTAAAATATTTCCGGAAGGGTTGTAATCTTATCTATATTTCCTGATTCTGTAATTTTGTATGTTCCGGAAAGTTTGTAAATGTTTATTAATTTATTTTTTCCGTTAAGTTTGCAATCTTATTTTGTTCCGGAATGTTTGCAAATTTACAAACATATTCCGGAAAAATATTAAGTGTTTCCGGAATGTTTGTAATCTTATCTATTTCCGTAAAGTTATCGTTTTATATTTTCCGGAAAATTATAATTTTATATTTTATCTTTTCCGGAAAACTTGAAATATTAAGTGTTTCCGGAATCTTTATAATCTTATTTTATTCCGGAAAGTTTTCAATTGTATATATTCCGGAAAGTTACTAATATTAAATGTTTCCGGAAAGTTTGTAATCTTATGACATTTTCTTTCAGTTTGCAATACTGATATTTTGTAGATTTAAGTTTAATTACTTATTTTTAAGTTTGTAAAACATTAATTTACAACAACTAATAATTATATAAACAAATTTTTACAACTAATAATTATTAACAAATTATTTTTTTTTTTAATCTTAATTTGTTTTCCCTCTCCTTTTTTACCTCTTTACTCACTTCAAATCACAATTTTTATTTTATTTATTTCCTCCCTTCCAATCTGATTAGTCAACAAAACATTGTCTTTAGGTATAAGCATTACAAAAACTGTAAAACAACCTTTTTAATTTTTTTTCTCCTTTCCTTCCTTCATCGCAACATCCGTCACCAAAAAAAATTTATTTTTTATTCTTTACTAAAAGGAGTAGCAAAAAATTGAATATAAAAATTTATTTAAATACTAAAAACCCTTTAAAAAGCTAAAAAGATGATGACGATAAATTTTTTGAAGAGAGAGTTTTAAAAAACAAAAATAAAAAAAATTAATTTAAATAAATAAAAGGTGAAGGAAGGATGAGATGTTGCGATATGGTCAGCAGAAATTTTTTAAAAAAAATAAAAAAAATGGACAAAAATATGTAGACAGTAAAAATGACCGCTGCATATTTTTAATAAAACAAATGTTGTTTTTTAGTTTATTGGAGTATTTCTGACCTTAATTCTGATTATTTTTTAAATAAATATAAACTTGGATAAACTTAAGTTTGTAAACTTTAATTTAAATAATAATTCTGGGTTAGTGTCAAATGTTTTTAAAATCAGAATTTTGATTTATTTAGAGACCAGAATTCTGATTTAGACTTGATTCTGGTTTTTATTAAAACCAGAATTCTGGTTTATTTTAAAAATAGGATTCTGATTTGAACAAAATTCTGATTTATTTAAAAACCAGAATTCTGATTTAAATCATAATTCTGATTTAGGTTAAGTCCAAAATTCTGATTTAGTTTAAATCAGAATTCTGATTTAGACTTAATTCTGGTTTTTATTAAATCCAGAATTCTGGGTTTTCTTGAGATAATATTTAATTCTGATTTTAATTCTGATTTTTATTAAAACAGAATTATTCCCAACTTGATACTTAGTTTGTCTTTTAAGTTTTAATTCTGGTTTTAATTCTGGTTTTTATATAGACTCAAGTTTGTAAACTTAATTGTGATTTAATTTATTAAACCGCCTACCTCTCCCACACATTAATTCTTTAAATAATTAAGATTTTTCTTAAAATAATAATATCAAATATAACTCAAATATTTTCCAAAAATGAGAGAATTATTAAAATCCTCTAAAAAACTACAAAAATCTTCAAATATAAAAAAATCACTTTTTTTCTTTATATCCCCTCCCACACTTTCAAAATCCGATTGGGTTAAATACTTTACTTTTTTTTTACTTTTTTTATTGGCTAATTTTCTATATATACTTTTGCTCTTCTACTATTTATTTTCACCCCCGCTAATCTTCCCCTCATTCTCCTTCCCCCCTTCCTCCTCCTCCTTCCACCCCCGCTAATCCAACTAAATCTCCTTTTCTCTCCTACCTTTCCCTATCAATTCGGTTAATTATTTTGAACACTAAACAAGGAACTGGGCCTAATTTTAATAATAATAATAAATATTTTTATTAAAAAAGAGGGTGGTGCTTAGCAAAAAAAGTAAGGGGAAAAGGGGGATAAGGAAAGGTATAAATAAGAGTAAATTTATTTTATTTATTTATATATTCTGTATTAATTTAAATAACGAATTTTATCCCTTGTTTTTTAAAAGAAAGATTTATCTCCTAAAAAAGTCATGAGTTAAATAAAAACAAGAAGAATCTTGTCTCATTCTGATGTCTGATGTAGACTACTCTGTTTTTGTGAATACTCTTCCTTTTTTTAACCGAGACAAATTAGCTGTGATTTCATCAGACTTTTTTGGAGAATCTCTGTTTTCGGTTAATTATTTTGAACACTAAACAAGGAACTGGGCCTAATTTTAATACTTTACTTTTTTTTACTTACTCTGTATTAGATAGCTTGGTTGAAAGCCTTCCTAGAACGACTCAACGACTCTCGATATAGGCGACATTTTTATTTATATGAGCGGGTTTCCTTGGATCTCTGCATTTCTAATTTAATTTCTTTTTTTTCCTAAACTAGACATGGGTTTGAGGACCGAATTAAATCAAAATTAGGGCTGGATCCGCTTCAGCGGAACGCGTTCAGCCTTCCACAAGGACGCGGAAACGGATCTCGATATAGGCGACATATTTTTATGAGGGGGTTCTTTCTTTAGTCTCATTCTGATCTCTAATCTAGACTAGAGTTGGGCGGGATCGGGATCCCGGTCGGGATCGGGCGGGATTATCCCGGTTTTTTTGAATCCCGATCCCGATTTTTCTGATCCCGAACCCGAAAGACAAATCCCGATCCCGGTTTTGGCCGATCCCGATCCCGAGCCGGGATCGGGACCGGGATCGGGATTAGCAATCGGATCCCGATGAAATCGGGATTTTATCCGATGAAATCGGGATTCCTCTTAATCCATCAGAATCACCTTATCGTTAATACTTTATCCCTCCTCCTTAATCCCTGATACGCCAAGAACAAATGCGCGCTGGGACTTAAAATCAATATTTCAGCACAGCAGATGAAAATTATGGAATTATATTGAGGTATATGTAATGTAAATAAAAATTTAAATTTTGAAAATTTTTTTAAACTAAATCCCGATCCCGATTTTTCAATCCCGATCCCGAGTCGGGATCGGGACCGGGATCGGGATCATTATTCCGAATCCCGATCCCGATTTCGTCCAATCCCGATCCCGCAGTCGGGATCGGGACCGGGATCGGGATCATCATTCCAAAATCCCGATCCCGATTTTACGTCGGGATCCCGATCCCGCCCAACTCTAATCTAGACTACTCTATTTTTATATAAATATCTTTAAAAAAATACCTCCAAAATTTTTTGGAGGCGCCTTTTTTTAGCTTTCCGCTTCCGTCTTCCGCTTTTTAAAATTCAAAATTCACCAGCCCTGGTCGATATCTCCAAAAAAATATTTTTTGAGCCAACCAAGATTTTAAAATAACAATCTCTCGTCTCGTTCTAATCTCTAAACCAAACTACTATTTTCCTTCCAAAAATAACTCTGTTTTTAATTTATCTTTATACGATCCCCATTAAGTTCCCCCCAACAAAAACATAGATTAACTGTACAAGTCTGTACTATAATATTTAATTTATTAATGGGTTCTAATAATTCAGCTTTTAGCAGTCCAATAAAGTAATTTATTTTTTTTATTTTGTGCCACCATTTTTTTTTCTTTCTCGTTCCATTCATGATCCGTTCCCTTATAAACATATTTTGGTCGTTTATCTTCTGCCATTTTTTTCTAAAATTTTATTTTTTATTCCCTTAATGGATTAGACTTTTAATAACGTCAGTCAGTCTCTCTCAACCTTTTTTTAAGTTATTTTCCCTTTTTAGTGACGCTTTTTTCGTTTACTTTCTTTAAATGAGAGGGAGAAGCCCTGAACGGTGCGCGACTATTTATAAATAAAAATAAGGTAAAAAGGTTTTCCAGTCAAAGCAATATAAATATAATCCTGTCAGCTAAAAGAGGGAAACATTTTTGCGCCTATAAAGCTTTTTAATCCAAAAAGAAAAAGTGAGAGAAAAAAAATTTTTTTGTGCGCAAGAAAAAAATTTTTTTTAATTTTTTAAGGCCGTGCCGTTGTATTTTAATTTTGCGCACATTAAAAATTATAAAGTTTTGATGATGTAATTAATTTATATTTTTTTAATTTTTATTTTCTTTATTTTTTCGAGATTTTCTAGAACAAAAAAAATTGAGAAAAAAATTTTTTTGATTGTCTAATAAATATTTATTTGACGTTATTTAGGTGTCCTTTAAATTACAATAGTGTTATTATTTTTTAAGCTTACAATTAATATTTAAAATAATAAATAGGAGAAAATCTAATGCAAATAAATACACATTAATTTAATAGACCAAACTAGAGTTTCCTAATTTATTATAAAATTAATTTAATAAAATTTACTATATGTTAAGGGTAGAAAAATATTTTTTCAATAAATTTTAAAAAATATTTTTTTCAGAGAAAATCCCAATCAGTTGAAAAACAGTCAACTAACACTAGTAGACCAATGGAGGATCAACAACAAAGCGAAGCTAGTTCATCCTTTCGCCCATTAATACCTGAAGTTTCTTCTTCAATTAAACAAGAACTTTTGGTTACTACAAATAATACTGATAATAATAGTAATACAATAACATCAACACAAACAACTCCATTTCCTTCTTGGTCACCTTACAAAAATTTATTTCCAGCAACACATCCAGCATTTTTATTAAGAGGGTAAGAGAAAAATTATAGTGATATTAATTTTTAAGTTTGTAAATAGTTTCCGGAACGATTGTAAGTTTTAGTAGATATTTTCCGGAAAGAAATAATTTATTTTTAAGATTGTAAATATTTTCCGGAAAGTTATAAATTAATTTTTAAGTTTGTAAATAGTTTCCGGAAAGATTGTAAATATTTGTAGATATTTTCCGGAAAGATATAAATTAATTTTTAAGATTGTAAACATTTTCCGGAAAGAAACAATTTATTTCTTAAGTTTATAAACATTTTCCGGAAAGATATAAATTAATTTTTAAGATTGTAAACATTTTCCGGAAAGAAACAATTTATTTCTTAAGTTTATAAACATTTTCCGGAAAGATATAAATTAATTTTTAAGATTGTAAACATTTTCCGGAAAGAAACAATTTATTTCTTAAGTTTATAAACATTTTCCGGAAAGATATAAATTAATTTTTAAGATTGTAAACATTTTCCGGAAAGAAACAATTTATTTCTTAAGTTTATAAACATTTTCCGGAAAGATATAAATTAATTTTTAAGATTGTAAACATTTTCCGGAAAGAAACAATTTATTTCTTAAGTTTATAAACATTTTCCGGAAAGATATAAATTAATTTTTAAGATTGTAAACATTTTCCGGAAAGAAACAATTTATTTCTTAAGTTTATAAACATTTTCCGGAAAGATATAAATTAATTTTTAAGATTGTAAACATTTTCCGGAAAGAAACAATTTATTTCTTAAGTTTATAAACATTTTCCGGAAAGATATAAATTAATTTTTAAGATTGTAAACATTTTCCGGAAAGAAACAATTTATTTCTTAAGTTTATAAACATTTTCCGGAAAGATATAAATTAATTTTTAAGATTGTAAACATTTTCCGGAAAGAAACAATTTATTTCTTAAGTTTATAAACATTTTCCGGAAAGATATAAATTAATTTTTAAGATTGTAAACATTTTCCGGAAAGAAACAATTTATTTCTTAAGTTTATAAACATTTTCCGGAAAGATATAAATTAATTTTTAAGATTGTAAACATTTTCCGGAAAGAAACAATTTATTTCTTAAGTTTATAAACATTTTCCGGAAAGATATAAATTAATTTTTAAGATTGTAAACATTTTCCGGAAAGAAACAATTTATTTCTTAAGTTTATAAACATTTTCCGGAAAGATATAAATTAATTTTTAAGATTGTAAACATTTTCCGGAAAGAAACAATTTATTTCTTAAGTTTATAAACATTTTCCGGAAAGATATAAATTAATTTTTAAGATTGTAAACATTTTCCGGAAAGAAACAATTTATTTCTTAAGTTTATAAACATTTTCCGGAAAGATATAAATTAATTTTTAAGATTGTAAACATTTTCCGGAAAGAAACAATTTATTTCTTAAGTTTATAAACATTTTCCGGAAAGATATAAATTAATTTTTAAGATTGTAAACATTTTCCGGAAAGAAACAATTTATTTCTTAAGTTTATAAACATTTTCCGGAAAGATATAAATTAATTTTTAAGATTGTAAACATTTTCCGGAAAGAAACAATTTATTTCTTAAGTTTATAAACATTTTCCGGAAAGATATAAATTAATTTTTAAGATTGTAAACATTTTCCGGAAAGAAACAATTTATTTCTTAAGTTTATAAACATTTTCCGGAAAGATATAAATTAATTTTTAAGATTGTAAACATTTTCCGGAAAGAAACAATTTATTTCTTAAGTTTATAAACATTTTCCGGAAAGATATAAATTAATTTTTAAGATTGTAAACATTTTCCGGAAAGAAACAATTTATTTCTTAAGTTTATAAACATTTTCCGGAAAGATATAAATTAATTTTTAAGATTGTAAACATTTTCCGGAAAGAAACAATTTATTTCTTAAGTTTATAAACATTTTCCGGAAAGATATAAATTAATTTTTAAGATTGTAAACATTTTCCGGAAAGAAACAATTTATTTCTTAAGTTTATAAACATTTTCCGGAAAGATATAAATTAATTTTTAAGATTGTAAACATTTTCCGGAAAGAAACAATTTATTTCTTAAGTTTATAAACATTTTCCGGAAAGATATAAATTAATTTTTAAGATTGTAAACATTTTCCGGAAAGAAACAATTTATTTCTTAAGTTTATAAACATTTTCCGGAAACATTGTAAATATTTGTAGACATTTTCCGGAAAGATATAAATTAATTTTTAAGATTGTAAAAATTTTCCGGAAAGATTAAATATTTGTAGATATTTTCCGGATATATATAAATTTATTTTTAAGTTTGTAAATAGTTTCCGGAAAGGTTAATAACTTTTTAAGTTTCCGGAAAAGTTTAATAATCTTAAATAAAATACAGTAATATAAATAATTATTTCGCAAACTTAAATTTATTTCTCTCATTTTTATAGTTTTGAACTTTCTGCAACAACCTCTCCCTCATTTTCTTCCTCTTCGTCTCTTTCCCCAACATCTCTAATTTCCGGAAATTCTTTATCACAAATGCAACTACCTTTACAATTACAACAACAATTTACAATGTCACAATTCCAACATCCCCAACAACAAAAACACCAACCAACATATTCACAACAACAACAAAGACGTCAGACTATAAGCTGTTCGGTTGTTACAACAATGAATCAACAAAGACAACAACACAACCCTTCTATATTAACTATGGCTGGACAACAACAACATTTTATGGAAGCATCTGCTTTAGTTGCACAACAAACATCGGCGGCAAATTTAATGAGAGGATTTGAAGGGTGGGTTTTTATGTTTGTGAACACTTTCCGGAAAGATATAAATTAATTTTTAAGTTTGTAAACACTTTCCGGAAAGATAAAAATTAATCTCAAGTTTGTAAATATTTTCCGGAAAAACTATAAATTGGTTTTAAGCTTGTAAACATTTTCCGGAAAAATAAATTCTTAAGCCTGTTATTATTTTTATTTTATTTTTATATGTACATATTTCTTAAATTTATTTTTTTTTAAAGAATGTTTTCTACCACTCCACAAGATCCACAACATATTAATGTTGTTCAAGGTGGAACTAACATTATCTCACAAATTCCACCTTCAGCAATGACTTCTGTTGTTCCTCACCTTCCTCAATCTATCCGTGGCAGTCCCCTATCTGCTGCAATGTTATCTGCAGCATTTTCTTCCACATCCACAGCAGTCACGTCTTCATCAAATACAGGAATATGTCAAAATGTTGGTGGACAGGCTGCTTTTATTAGTGGAGGATCGCCATCTACATCGTCGTCACATCATCAAATGGATGACGAGTTTTCTCAAGTAGATGAATCTAAGATTTGTGCAGTTTGTAATGACTACGCTGTTTGGTTAGAATTTTCTAAAATTAATTCATAAATTGGGTTATAATGTATTGTAAATTTTATATTTTCCGGAATTAATCTTAAGTTTGTAATAATATTGTCTTCCGGAAAGATATAAATTAATTTTCAAGTTTGCGAACTTTTCCGGAAAGGTTAATTAATATTTAAGTTTGCAAACTTTTCCGGAAAATTAAATAATTTTCAAGTTTTGTAAACTTTTTCCGGAAAAGTTTAATTCTTAAGTTTGCAAACTTTTCCGGAAAGGTTGATTTTTTAAGTTTGCAAACGTTTCCGGAAATTAAATTAATATTCAATTTTGCAAACCTTTTTCCGGAAAATTAAATTAATTTTTAAATTTGCAAACTTTTCCGGAAAATTAAATTAATTTTTAAGGTTGCAAACTTTTCCGTAAAGTTTAATCTTAAGTTTGCGATTTTCAAGTTTTATTAATAATTTTTTAAGTCAACATTATGGAGCATTAACTTGTGAAGGATGTAAAGGTTTCTTCAAACGAACCGTACAGAAAAAGTCACAATATGTTTGTGCTGGCGATAAAAAGTGCCCGTAAGTTTTTATTTTGTAAAAATTTAATTTTTAAATTTAATTTTTCATTTTAGAATTGACAAAAAATATCGTTCACGTTGTCAATATTGTCGTTTTCAAAAATGTTTGGATGTTGGAATGGTTCGAGAGGTGGCAAAAAATATTTCTTAAATAATTAAAAAATTATTTTTTTAAGATTGTCCGTTTTGGTAGTTTAACAGGGCGTAGAGGACGTCTTCCTTCTAAAGTAAAAAGTTCTTCAATTACTTCACCATCATCTTCAACTTCTTTTCAAATGTCTACTTTAGGGCAACCTGAACCTGCTCAAAGTCCGCCCCTTCCCATTTTAACAATTATTTCTAAAGCTTTTAATGAAATACATGGACAAATGAATACGGCATGCAGAAGAGAAATTGTAAAAAAAATTTGGAAAAAAATTTAAAAAATTTTCCTTGAATATTCAGAAACAACGTTTATCTTTAAATGAGTTTTGTTCTATATTGGAATTGGAACTTCAAAATATTTGGGGATTTGCTCGTCGAATACCTGATATTGTAGAGTTGAATGAATCAGAGTTGCGTTTACTTATACTCCACAACTTTTTCCCTATTTTTGCTGTTCGTCAGGCGTTTCGTTGGGCTGAATTAAAGTAATATAGTTAATAGTTTCGGAAAATATTTAAGTTTGTAAAAATTCCGGAAACAATTTAAACCTTCCGGAAATATTTAAGTTTGTAAAAATTCCGGAAAAATAGTAAACATTATCCGGAAAGCTATAAATTAATTTTTAAGTTTGTAAAAATTCCGGAAAACTTTCAAGTCTGCAAATATTTTCCAGAAACCACTTAAATATCTTCCGGAAATTATTTAAGTTTATAGTTTCCGGAAAACGTTTAAGTTTGTAAATATTCCCCTTAAACTTTCCGGAATATTTCGAAACATTTATTTTCAAGTTTGTAAGTGTACAAAATTGTTTCCGGAAACTTTCTAGTTTGTAAATATATTTTCCGGAATTTATTCTCTATTTTGTAAATATATTTTCCGGAAATATTTACTTTCCAGATTTTTAATTATTTATTTTTAAAAGGACTACACAAATGCCAGAAGACTTCTGGTTTGAAGGCGGTATTTGTCTCAAAACAGACGAATTACCTATAGAATGGCGTAAATGGTTCTGTGAAGTTACCGCAGTTGCCCACAACTTTCGGATGCTTATTGACTGGGATATTCCTTGTTTAGCTTCTTTGATTGTTTTACAAATGTTTAAAGTTGGACCAAGTATTTCTGGAATGATTACCCAAACTTCCGTTGAACGTTTTAATTCAACTTATATTAATGCATTAAAAGATCATTGTTGTCAAAGTTCAACACAACCATCAAAACTTTCTAGAATTGTTGCACAAGTAAATATAAATTAGTTTTTAGTTTTTCGGAAAAGTTTTCTAGTTTATAGTATATTTTCCGGAAAGTTTTATATTCTAGTTTGTAAAAATATTTCCGGAAAAGTCTTTTAGTTCATATATTTTCCGGAAAAGTTTTCTAGTTTGTAAAAATATCATAATTAATTTTTCCGGAAAGTTTTATATTCTAGTTTGTAAATGCATATAGCTGAATTAATTTTCTAGTTTTCCGGAAACCTTTTACAATCTAGCTTTTAATTATATTTTTTCCGGAAATAATTAGTTTCAAGTTTGTAAAAACAACAAACATAATTCTTTCCGGAAGGTTTTATATTCTAGTTTGTAAATATATTTTTCCGGAAACATTTACAATCTAACTTTTTATATTTTCTCTCCGGAAATATATTTAATTTCTAGTCTGTAAAAACATCAGAATTAATTTTTTCCGCAAAGTTTTATATTCTAGTTTGTAAATGCATATAGCTGAATTAATTTTCTAGTTTTCCGGAAAACCTTTTACAATCTAGCTTTTCCGGAAATATCTAATTTAAAGTTTGTAAAATTAGCAAGATTAATTCTTTCCGGAAAGTTTTATATTCTAGTTTGTAAATATATTTTTCCGGAAACATTTACAATCTAACTTTTTATATTTTCTCTCCGGAAATATATTTAATTTTTTAATTTCTAGTTTGTATGTAAAAATAACTAAATTAATTCTCTAGTTTGTAAATACATTTTCCGGAAGAGTTTAATTTTCTCATTTTTAATTTACAACTAACTTTTTTTCTTTTCCATCAGGTTTCACAATTCGAACCCTTCCGGCATCTCGGTTCAGAATGTTTAGGCTCCTCATTGCGACAATTGACATCACAACCTTCACAAACATTGACACAATTATATTTAAATAGTGGAGGAAATTTAAAAATTGGTGGAGGAGGGGGGAATGCTTCTACAAGTAATCAAAGATATTCTTCAAGTAATTTTAGTGAAGAAAGTGAAGGAAATAAACAATTAAATAAACAGCAACCTTCTGCTTCTTTTAGTGGACAACAATTTCATCGCGATAATTTTTAAATTAAAAATAATTAATTAATTAATTGAACGGGTCAAACTGTGGACAGAATAAAAATGATTTTTTTTTTAATTTTTTAATTCTTTATTTTTTTTAAATGACCACCAAAAAATAATAAAAAAAAATTAATCTTCTTTAAATTACAAAATTAAAAAACACTACAATTTCTCTCTCTCATAAAAAATTATTATACCTATTTTATTTTTTCTTTTTTTTAATTTTAGATATTTTTAATTTAAAAATACATTTTTTAGAAATATTTTCTACTATTGTTCTTTTCACCTTGACATTGTTATAAAAAAATTTTTTCTTAAAATTATTTTTTTCCATAAAAGGAAGCGAATTAAAATTTTTATTTAAAAAAATTTCTTCTTACTAAAAAATTTTTAAAAAATTAATTAAAATTTTCTAATTAAAATTATTTCTTAAATTTATTTTTTAGTCAAAAATTGGAATATTTTTAAAATAAAAAAATACAATTATAGAAAAAAAAGAGTTTTTGAATATACAAAATGGCCAATATAATGAGCTAAAATTGTAGTAGTACATATTTAAAATAGAATATAAAATCTCTCCTTTTTTAAAATTATTTTAAAAAATATAAACTATAGAAAAAAATTTTTTTGGAGAGATTTGACTTAAAAAAATAATTTTATAAAATTAAAAAAAAAGAAAAATTAATAAAAAAAGGACGATACTGCAAGCAAAAGAAGATTTTTTTTAATTTAAAGGATGAAAGAAAAAATTCAAATAAAATTTTATAAATTTTGGAAGGAGAAAACGAACTACTCTACTCAATTACAGTTAGTCACACAAACAAAATCCTCTCAAAAAATTCTCAGAAAAAATTTTTTTTCTATATTTTTCCATTCATCTCCTAATTATTCTCCTTCCAAAAAAAATATTTTTTATATATAAAGTTGAATCTCTCCAATAAAATTAATTATAAACTTGGACATTTAACTAGCCTCTCATGAGACAGAGGGTCCTGTCCCAGAGTAATAAAAAAATTTTTTTATTTAAAGGATGAATCCTCCTATCCAGTAAATTAATGCCCTATCCCAGAGTAATAATTCTCATTAAAATTGGCTTTTTAATTTTACCGAATTGCTTTTAAAAAAATATTTCTTTCAATCCCTTCATTATATTTTAGGAGATTCAACTTTTTATATTCCACACAAAAAATTCAATTTAAAAAATTTTTTAACCAACTTCAGACATTACAGCATCAACTCTAGAAATACTACTTGTTACACTACCTGTTGGACTTCGATTATGTTCACGTTGTTGTTGTTGATGGTGTTGAGATGAATTTCTTATATATTGATTTGTTGAACACAATAAACGGAAACGTTTGATTGAACCAATTTCTATATCTCGGAATAATTGCATCTTTAAACAAAAAAAATTTTTTTACTTAAAAAAATTTTTTAAAGAAAAATAAAATTGACTCTCCCTTATGAATATTCACCCATTATGATCGAAAAACTTTTATTTTATATTGAGAGATTCTTGAATAGAGGGAGGATAAAGTTTAGCCAAACCTTCTCCATCTCCACCAGACCCGGAATCAACCAAATTTTAACAAAACGTAATTTTTAATGTAGAAGGGTACTGGGTATTGAAGGGTATTAGTAGTGGGTAATTTTTACCAACTTTTTTTTGTAGTGGGTATTTTACGAGTATATATAAAAACGAAGCTTTACTTAAAAACGTTATAAAAATTCCTTTAAAAATTTTTGGAAAACAGAAAAAAAAAATAAAAAAATATACTTGAAATATTCCAATAATTGTAGTCAAAAACCCAATAACATTTCCAATTACATCACTTGCACCCAAACATGACCATTCTTTATATCTACAAAAAAAATTTTTAAAAATTAAAATATTTAAAAAGAAAATTTACAATATTGAACTAGCCAAAATTACAAAACTTGTAAAGAAAACATAATATATTGGTGTTACCTTTATAAATAAAATAAAAATTTTTTAAAGGAAAATATGCTAAATTAATATCCCTAGTTCCTTCCAACCAAAAAAAAAATAAATTGACAGATTATAGAACAAAAATAGGGAATAGAGAACCTAAAATTGAAAATCGGACAACTTTAACAATGTCTTTTAGAGTGCAAAAATTTTTTAATCTCGAGTATAGGAAAAATAAATGAACCCAAGAAAGGTCTTAATTCGACCTTGGACTTGAGGAAAATCAAGATCCAGGCCGGTAACTATTATAATTTTGAAAAAAAAAAATCCAAAAAAAAACCATAGAAGTATTGTAAATATCCAATGATTTATTTAAATAAACTAATTGAATTGATATACAGGAGAGAACAGCAATTAACCAAAACCATGTTAACCTTTTAAGAAAAAAAAATTTTTTTTAATGAAAAAAGGAGGGGAATTACTAGACTAACAAAAATGTGGGTCAGCTACAAGCTATTCAATTAATTTTAAAAATTCTAAAATAAAAGATGTAGACCAGAGCCGTAGCTAGGGGGGAATCCACCCAAAAATTCGGCGCACAAAAATTTCCCCCCTTGCCCCCTACTCCAGAAAAACTCATGGTTATGGTCTTAATGAGAATAGCCGAACTTTATAAGACATCAAAAATTAATCAAAAAATTCCCCCAAAAATTCTTTAAAACAAACCAATTAGTAAATTGTTCTTTTGTAGTAATACTTTCTTTAATTGCCAATCCAAGTCCTTTAACAGAAATAACTGACAGAGATCCAATTAATGAACATATTGAAATGTATACAAGAATATTTGTATGGCCATAACGAGGAGCGGCATAAAACACAAAAACTAGGGTTATGGCAAAAACTACAGCTACGTAGGTGATAAATACTGAAAAAAAATTTTTTTTTTGCAAAAAATTAAAGGAAAGCAAAGGAAGAATCTCCAAAAAGTATCCAATTTTGAAGGTCTATAAAAGGGTCCATATTTAAAAAAAGTAAAAGACGGAAGGCAGAAGAAAACAGAAGAGAGTAGAAAAGCAAGGCAAAGACGGTAGGACCAAAAAAGTAGGAAGAAGCCAGAAACAAAAGAGATTTGAGCCCTGGTCTATAATTATCAAAAAACAAGCCAATTGCTTTAAAAAAAATTTGTCAATAGGAAAACGACCATAATCTACAGCTGACATGGTTGAATTTTTGGCCTATAACTCCAAAGAACCGTTCGAATAATTTTAAGTCAAAAAATGTCCCCCTTAAAAAATAGAACCTGGATCTCTCATTTTCTCCGCCAATTCTCTCATAGACGACACTTCCTCTTCTTTAGGTGAGTGAATAACGATAGAAGTTGAACCTAACAGACAAATTGCACATCCAATTTTACCCAATAAATTTAAGCGTTCTTTAAGCATTCGAGAGGAAAGGACAGCGGTTACTAGAACACTCTTTAAATTAAAATCATTAAAGAATTAAGAGGAAAAAACAAACCAAAGCCCCCATTGGAGTTACTAAACTTGCTGGAGCAAAAGCATAGGCAGCGAAATTGCAAGCCTCTCCAATTCCCATTGTAATTACGCCCATCCACCTAATTTTAAATAAAAAATTTTTAGAACAGAGAATGACACAGATTCAGACTTCGATTTCCCCAGGACGTAAGATCAAGATCTTTTCAAATTTCCGGTTCTTAATAACCAAAAGCCACAGAAAATCAAAAATGAGGAAAAAAACAGCAGGGATTCAGCCCCCGATTTCTCCTTGACAAAAAGTTGACCTAGGTTATCACTTGAAATGAATATTCTTCTCATGTTTCCAGTCCCTAACAGAGAAGGGACAGGTTGAGACATAAGTCGAAGGTTTCGAGTAACCCGACACAATCACAATTCCATTTTTAATCTCTGAGAGAAGGTAGATGAAAGAAAAGAAAAGTTGCGGACAAACATTTGCGGACATGCGGAAATATACTCCCAAAGTACCAATGAGAAATAAGCTTATCTACCCAACACACACCTTTCAAATAAAAAAAAAGAAAAAACAAACCAAAGCCATTCCTTCAAATATCCATAACCCCCTTCAGAAGCCCTCTGTGCATAATCACCAGATACACTAGCCAATTTAATTAAAGCTTTCTTTTTGATAATAAAGGAGGAACCAATAAATATACTCGAACTAATAGCCAATCCAAGTCCAATATAGAAGTCGACAAGATTGTCTCCACCACCATTCTTGTGCTGAAAAAATGAAAGTCAGACCTTCATTATAGGATATCCCCACAGGGCTTAAAAATCTCGTATCTTAAGATGAGTGTCTCTTAAATAGAGGGTACCGATTGGATGGATATTCTCACCCAATGGGCAATCAAATTTGAGGAAATTATCCGGGGTGATTTTTCACTGGATGATTACTCAAATTCGTTCCTCTCCTCTCTTATTTTCTTTTCTCAAAAGACTCGTAATGAGCGTACACTAGTCCCTCCAAATATCTCAATTTAAATTTTACACGTCGGATTGCTAGTCCTTTACTGACTAATTGAATGAAAGAAGGAAGAATATCTACAAGGGATGAATCCTGTCTGTATTTAAAAAAACAGAAGACAGCCTATCACTGATAGCTCATTTAGGTTTGATGAGAAAGCAAAAAAGGGGAGGGGGAGTTAATTAGGCGTACTTATAAGTAAGGCCCTAGGAAGTATGCGAGGTCCGTCTGTCCTTTAAAATTAAAAAAATCTAACAAACCTCCAAAAGATTATTATTAACAGCAACAGAAACTTGAGGTTCTTCCATTAAAGAAATTTTGGATGATGCAGCATCGTTTAACATTGAAGAATTGCTTCTAAAAAAGGAAAGATTTTCTTTTAATTTAAAGACAAAAGGAGAACAATCTTAAAAAGAAAAGTGAAAAGTTTTATGAAATTTAAAAACGGTTGCCCCAAGAAACGAATGAATAATTGAACAAACTTTGAAAAAAAAACTCTCTAACAATACAAAATTTGTTAAAAAAATAGAGAAAAATAAATAGAAAAGTTGGTAAGGAAGGGTGAACAAATTAG